TGGGAAACCGAACGTCTGACCAGATGACGGCTCTAAATTTAAGGGCTTGCTGTCAAGCCATGTGTGCATTAATGTGCCCTTTTGTGACCAAGCTAAAGATAATTTTCCTATCTGGAACAGCAGCTGCGTTGTAAGTTGTATAAAGAGACTTCTCCGCTAATGAAGAGCGATCATAAGAGCATGGCCTGCCCTAAGAGGATGAGCAAAACTGGAGAGATGTGACTCGGGGTAGGGCTCTGACGCTCCACAGAAGCTGAAAAGAGGCCATTTATAGAAACTCAAAGATGTTTGTCTCCTTGAAAAACGTACAGGCCTTGCTGTTACTTTAATGTAAATGCCACTGGAGACAATAGCAAAACTTTTTTTAAACTCCAGGAAAAGTCACTTTAAATTGTCTAGAGTTCAATATTCTCTGCAAAAATTGAGCCAAAAAAATTTAAGTGTACAGACAGTGCTATGGAACAGAAAGAAACTTTCAGCAAAAAAGTAGAGTTGCATACACTCTTATGTGTTGTAGTGAGTGTATTTTTAACCCACCTACATATTTGAAAGAAGTTGACCTTTGTAGAAGGTCTACTACAGTCTTTTAGAGCTGGCAGAGGTCCAGTTACGTGTGTGTGATTGTGTATGGCATTTCATATTAGGAGGCATGGGACAAACCCCTGGGTCAGCAGGGATTATCCAGATAGGTCATTTAGTACATTACTCCCACTTCTCTTCTTGAAGGGTTGGTTTAGATGTGCAGTAACACTCAGGTCAGCTGCTTAGCTTGCAGCAGTGCAAACACGTGTTGTCTCAAGGAAGGTGGGTCACTAAACAGCACATTTAACTGGCAGCCTCCAGCACACGAGTGGATAATACTTCCTGATCTCCTTGTGGCTTTAAAAAACGGGAAGGAGTGCTGCACACTGTAGCCTTGTGGAGGTTTGCAGGGCTCAGAGGTACTCAGTGATGCTACAAATCTGTTTTCCCACCTGGTGACAGCATTATGTTGGAGTGCCATGTGCAGGGAGGTGTTACTGGGGGCTTTTAAGGGCATGAGAACTGCAGACTTTATGATTTGTGATTTATTGTCCTTCAAGGAAATAAATGCCTAGGACACTTCATTAGCATGTAGCACTGCTTGGAGGAAGACATCTCTAGCCAGGGTGCTGTACAAAGCATGTCCTCAGCGCTGCCCTGTAAGTCCGTGATGGGTCAATGTGCTGCTGAAGTTGTGCTGCTCTCCCATGAGCTGTTACTTGCATGTAGGATATGAATGGGGGCCTGAGCAGTCTGACCTGGCTTTGAAGTCAGCCACGCTTTAATCATAAATCTTCTGCAACTCTGTGGTATTCAGCATTCCCTGACCAGCTGGGCTGCAGCATCATGTTTCATGTATTCAGTGTTATGCTTCTTGTTTTCATTTCAGGTCCTGTTTCGGCATAAAAGTGAGATTCACAAGACTCCTCTAAGATGTCTTACAGAAAGGAGCTAGAAAAATACCGAGACCTGGATGAAGACAAGATCCTTGGAGCTCTGACAGAGGAAGAGCTCAGGAAGTTAGAGAATGAACTGGAAGAGCTGGATCCTGATGTAAGTCATTTTTACACAAAATTTGCTAGGTGATAAATCTCAGCAGTTGTGGGGGAATTGGCTGCATTACTCATCTATATTTAAGTGGGATCCTTTGCAGAGCCTGTGCTCAGTGCAAGGATGGAAGAGACTGTCTGCAGATGAGCGGAAGCAGTTGTGCCATTGCGAGCACGGGCTACACGTGGGACTTGGTTTCCGTGATATTCCCCTGCCCTTGCCCTGGCGTGCATGCTCCAGTGTGATGACCGCTGTGATTTGCAGCAGCAGTGTGAGCCAGTGCTGGTGCAGGGCAGTAAACCTGTGGAAACTGGATCTCTGCTTCCGATCAGGCCACCTTGGAGAGAATGTTTTGGGGTTTGTGGGTTGTTTGGGGTTTTTTTTGTAGCAAACTTCAAATGGTCTGTATTTTCCTCCATTTAGGCAGAAACCCAAATCCCAGAGTTTTGCAAAATGGAACAACTGCTTTTTAGCAACCTCCCAACATCAGTAGGAGCTGCGCATATGCAAACGGTGGGCCTGCTGGTGCCCAGCAATGAAAGATTTTTGGAGGCAATGTTGTCCTGTGGCCCTGCAGAGCCAACTGGCAGGCCTCTGGGTTACAGCAACACTAGACGATGAAGCTGGGCACTGCCAAGTGAGAAATTGTTCCTGCAACATGCAGTTAGTGCTTCTGGGGGAAATGGTGGGCAGTGTAGATTGCATCAGCAGTATTTTTAATTGCAACACAGGAAAGTAATTAAGAGGTGGCAGGCTAGCTCCTGGGATTAAGCGTATGGGCTGATGGGCTGGTCACAGCTGCCTCAGAGGACACAGAGTCAGGAAGCATTCTGTGAAAGATGCAGAAGGGTAAAGTAAGCACGAATATCTGTCAGTACAGGTGTAGCCTGAGTACAGGAGTTAAAGCACAAAGATTGCATGGTCACCTCTCACAGCACGAAGCCTCAGGAAGCAAGCTGTTTCCTATGCCTCCCTGCTTGTGCATTAGCACAGTTCTCCTCTGTTGCCAACTAAGGTTGCCCGAGTCTAATTGCTTCCTATTAGTCATTTTCCTTCCCAGGCTTTTCACTGATACAGATGTAAATTATAATGAATTACTTTTATTAGGCGGGCATGGAAAAATCAGTATGTTGTTCAAAATCACCTTGATGTCTTAAAAAGTAAATGTTGACTTCTATCCAGCAAAGCTTTAAAGAACATACTTAGTGTCAAATCTGGAAATAGTCTTACTTACTGCATTAAGGCTGTTCTATATTTAAATATAAGCAGGTGCTTACGTGCCGTATGTGTCAGGCACAAAGCAACTTCCCATGGTGCCTAATGTGACTGAATAACAAGGAGGCAGTTCGAAAAAGGGCTGAGGTTCACAGGGGTTTTGTTCTGCAATGGGGAGACCTTCTCTGAGACCCTGCCTGTAGTTATGTGATGCCTGTAGTTATGTGATGGATCATGAAAGGCACAGGACACCACCATGGCTCTCTGGCCTGCTCTGTGAAAGACCGTGGCATTTCCCTGAACTGATTCTTGTTGGGACATGTGGGGTGTGTGGGCACTCAGACAGACAAATACAGGGAGGAGAAGATCGGTTGAGTTTAGCAGCTTGGTTCTGGTGGACTATTGCGAAACAGCAGAAATGGTGAGGGTGTGGGAAGAGGCTAGGAGGAGCAGGAGGCTGAGAGCCCCCAGAGAAAGGGCCAGAGCTGCTGTTGTAGAGAAACATCCACTTGGCAGCATGGAGATCTTGTAGTGGAGCCAGCATTTGAAATTGGAGGGGGGAAGGAGCATCACATGTCATAGATGATATAGGAATCAGTGGGGTTGGGTGGAGATAACGTTTGACACAAGGAGAAGCAAATTGTCCATCCATGTGGAAGAAAGACAGTGCAATGAGGAGAGTGGAGAGTGTTTCATCGGTGGGGATCATGGCCTGCAGAGATAACCCATGTTTCTCCCCTCTGTGCCTAGAATGCATTGCTGCCGGCAGGGCTCAGGCAGCGGGATCAGACGCAAAAGCCACCAACTGGCCCGTTCAAAAGGGAGGAACTCATGGCCCACCTAGAACAGCAGGCGAAGGATGTCAAAGACAGAGAAGACTTGGTTCCTTTCACAGGTGAAAAGAGAGGTATGGTCATCCTTTGGCACCACACTGAGTGCGTCATGATGAAGGCACAGTTGGTGCACAGCAGAAGAGTTGTGTCTGACCTGCATTGCTAAGCACAACTTCATTTTGACATGATTGGGGTGGTGGATCTGCTCTCTCTGCTGTCTAGTCCCAGTCCAGGCTGTCTAATAAACTGGGGTGTGCCCAAGAGGTCCATGTGCTTGCTGGTTTGGGTACCACCTGACATGTTGTTAAGTGATGGACAGAGACTGTACGACTGTGCAGCTTCTTCCCATCCCCATTCCACTGCAGCTGTATCAGGCTCTGGGGAAGACATCATCTTCTGTCCTCTCTTGTTCCTCCTCTGCCCTGTCCTCCTATGAGCTCTGCAGGCTGCGCTCTGTCTTCCACCATTGCCTGTCATGCTCCATCCCTACACTCTGAACTTCATCTTGCTGTAGAGAAACTCCACAGCTCCCCTCACCTGTGATGATCCCAACAGTTCCCGTCTATCCTTTGTCACCTCTTGACAACCCCAGCCTCATTTCCCAGTCTCCTGCAGCTTGCATGCTTCTGTCTTCCTGCACTGTGCTCTGTGGCAGCTGCTGCATCCCCGCTCTGCATGGCCCTGCAGCCTGTGAGCAAGGGGTTTGCTCTGCCTCTTCTCCTTCCTTCTGGCATCTTTTCCTGTTCTCCTGGGACATGTGCCATTATCCAAAGGACTTTCCTGCTCCCATTAGCACTCTGAATATCATGTGACGTGGGATGTGGTCTGGTCAGTCTTTGCCTCTGGGTTCCAGGAGCTTCCAGCAGCTTTTTTCGGCTGTTGTGTCTCCCTCTGTACTATGGTCCCCCTGCAGCAGAAGGTCTGGTTGTTTGCTGTTCACACTACTGGTTGCCCTACATCAAAAAAGAAGTGCATGAAAATGTGAGTATGTGAGCATATTTCCCAATTGAGGTCTTTGTCAAAGCTGCCTCCTTACTGATTCACGTGCCTCTCAGAAAGAGCTTGTGTTAAATCTGCCCATTTAATAAAACTTGAGGTGGTATTTTTAGAAAAAAAAAAAAAAATAGTTCTCCTTGAAAGAAGTAAATGAAAAGAATAAATTGAGTGCTATCAGGAGAGCTATCAGGAAGAGCAATTTAGCAACTTCAGACGTACCTCAGCCCAGTGTTGGCTACCCGCCTGGCTAGCCCAGCAGGTAGTAGCAGTGCTCCACAGGAGATGGAGGTATTTCAGGCATTTTGAGTGTTCAGCTTCTGGTCTGAGCTAGTCGTATTTCAATCTGGTGTGATCTCAAACACATTAAACATATTTTCACTTGTAACACGCTGTTGAGTGAAGACACTACTTACATTGACTGTGAGCCAGAGATGGTAAATTACATATTCACAGTTGTGGCAGAGCTGGAAATAAATCACCATGTCTGCAGTTCAGAGGGTGATTTACTAGTTTGCCATGGGAGGTGCTCTCCCTGGCTGTGCTGCTGGACAGGGTAGGAGTTGATGTGTGCATACATGCTGTATTATGATATATAATGCTGTGTTTGCATGCACCATTTAATTTAAAGTTCAGACTTGTAATAAAGCATGACTGAGAGATGAACTTTCTAAAATTAAAACCCAGAAGCTTTCATGACACTGAGATGTCAAAAGGAGTTATTGTGTGGTGGCAGAATTAAGTTTGCCCTGTTTCTCCTATTCCCCGCTGAACCGACAGACGGTGTGTACAGTTTGCTGAGGTGTGTGTCCAGTGGAACAACAGTTCCAGGTCTCCACACCAAGACAGAGCTGAGGGGGCCAGCCCCAGACATTTTGCTGCAGAGTACCCAGAAGGTGCCTGGTCGTGCAGGCACACATGACGCTCTGCCTATTTTTGCAAGAGCAGCTGTGTCCCAGGAGGCGGATTCCTGCCCTCCTCGACAGGGCAGCAGCGCACAGGCAGGAGATGGACCATTTTGCAAAAGGCTGTTTATAGCAGCCTCCATTTCGTACCAGGGGAGCCCAAAGTGCAGTTGCTTCTTCCTTGAGGCTAAATTTAGCCCCTTCTGTTTCTGCACATCCCTGAGCAGCAGGATCTTTGTTTCTCCCCTTTGGTGCCGCTGACTCTGGTTTCAGAGAAGGGACAAAAATAGTCCTGGCTGGCATGCCAGGCCAAGAGCTTTGCACTTGCTATCTCTCTCTGCAGTGATCCTGGACTATATCAGGGGAGGGGACTGCTCTGAAATGCTCTGGGATCCCTCCTCCTCCCATTCCGCAGCAGCGCTGGGTTTACCAAACAGACTGCTCCCTGCCATGGTGTGTTAAAACACCACCAGCCTCTCTCTTTTCTTTGACGGTGGGGCGGTCGCAGGTAGGTGCCCTGTTGTGAAATCTCAGACCTGAGCTGTTCAGCCTCCGCAAAGAGATCTGCCTGCCCATCGGTGGTGCGAGCTGTTAGGAGCTGGGAGCAGCCATGCACCGCCATGAACCTCGTCCACTGCCCCACACCTCCCTGGGATGCAGCTAGCTCCAGCAGAGAAAGGGTCATGGCTTTCCTGGTGATCGTCTTGGGCAATGGGATGGGGGAGTGCCAGGGAGCCCAGGGCATTCAGAGCCGGGCTGGAGCTGCGTCACTCGCTGCACAGCCCTTGTCCACGTGGACAGCCCCTGTTAGGAAAAGCGAGCAGCTGAGGTCCAGCTTTGTGTTACCTGTTGCTTTGCACCTCTGACTTGTAGGGGAAAGTCCTGTTCCTTGGCCTGTTGCTGTCCCGGGAGATAGAGCACAGAGATCTCCATCTGGCATGCCCTCTGTGTCTTCCCCCCACACTGTCCTCTGCAGCAACATTGAGGCAGACCAGCTGCCCCAAGCCTGCTCCTCCTTGCATCCCGTGTGCTCACTGGATGACCAACTGCTATCCCTGCCTGCTGCCAGACCCCCCTCCACTGCCTGCTTTCCACCCTCTTTTGACTAATGTGCCATCTGCCCTGCCACCACGCGTTTGGAGCTAGCAGCAGGAGCTGTCTCAGTGGCAGGACTGATCTGGCGCAGTGCTGGATCCAGGCCACTGGCCTCTCTTGGTCCATGCAAGCGCTGGCAAATCTCCTTCCCTTTTACGCAGCCTTCAAAGAAGTGAAGTCCTGCAGGGTCAGCCTGTGCATGGCTTTGAGTGCCGTGCGTTGAACAGTCACCATCCTGTACAAATGTGCTATTGGGCTTTTGTAGGTGCAGCCCTCTGCGCTGGTGAACAAGTCCAGCTTCACAGCTGGAGGTGTCTGGCAGGTGCCTCCTGGCTCACATCGTAGCAAGACTCAGATTGAGCTAATGGGAAGGGATTCAGTGTCTCATCTGATTTTTCTCTAGGTCCTTGTGCCCCCTCTGTCCTTTCCACTGTGCAAATCTTACCCCACAGAAATGCATCTGCACGGCTAGTTGTGAAACAGGTGCTGTAGCTATACTGAGAGTGACATCACTTTGCATTTATAGGAAAAGCTTGGATTCCCAAGCAGAAGCCGATGGATCCTGTTTTGGAAAGTGTGACTCTGGAGCCGGAACTGGAGGAAGCCCTTGCTAATGCCTCTGATGCAGAGCTCTGTGACATTGCTGGTAAAATAGTTTCACGTGAATTGGGGGTTCAAGTTGTTCGACTACTAGTTTCTTTTTGGTTGTTCTTTTGTGGGAAATGAGCTATTGAGCTTTTTGCTGTTTACCTGAATGCTGTCAGTTTTGACAGGAATTATTTCTTTTTAAAAAAAGAAGTTCATAAGTATGTTACTCTCAGTCCATGTGATTTAATCAGGAGCATGGAGCAAAGCTGAGGAAGGGAGAAGAAGGATTTATCAAGGGAATAAAGTGTGCTGTTTGATCTCTCCTCCTGTCTCTGCCACTGAATCTTGCAAACTGCAGCCTGTCACCTTCAGGAGCACAGCTTTCGTCAAGCCAGACTTCTAGGAAACAACCAAGCAGACCCAATGAGAATGTGGATTTCTTGTGCAACCTATTAAAGGAGCTGTCAGTTTAGAGCAGTCTTTCAATGGATACTCAGAGCTGCTGTTTGTTAAAGAGCTTTTCCAACACATTTTAAAGCTACGGATTTCTTGTGATTTGTGCGGTCAGTTGGTTTTGTGCATGTTAGCTCAGGGATGGGGGAATCCAGCATTAAACGGCTGGTGTACTTTGCGATGACTGAGAAGCAGGTTGGAATGCACCGCGAGCTGGAGAGGGGGACAGAGCGATTGCAGGTGCTGTTTGAGCCCTGACAGCATGCTCTTCAGCAGGTGCAGCAGGATAAACAAGCCTCATGCAAACCGAGGACAGGCATGGTCCGTCCCTATCTGGTGGGTTTACGCCTCCATGCTAGGTAAGCTCAAGCAGTGTCCCGTTGCTGGTTTTTAGGCAGTGTTGTCTGAGCGGAGGTGACCCCCTGCAAGCCTCATCGCTCTGCCACTTTAGAGATGACAATATTGGTATCTTGCTGAAGCCAGTAGTGTAGACTTAGCTTGGTGACTGGGGTAGGATATGCCTTGGCCAAAGGAGCATATGAACACCCCCTTGGTGCATTACTGAGCTCACATGTCCCCTCCCAGTCTAGCAGTTGATGAATATTTCAGTGCTGCTGGCTTCTTCTTCCAGTTCTGTCTCCTTCAGATTTCCATACTCCCTAGCACTATGCTCGTTGCCAGAAGTCTGTAAGATAGCCTGTAGAATAACCACACCAACTAGACATCTTCTGCATAATAATATCATATTCTGGCTTAGAAATGTGTTTCTGCTCTAAGGCTTCCAATATATGTACCTTGGCCAAGCATTGCATCTCTGTGTTTTGCTTTTTTACTGTACACCTAGAGTCTTATAAAGCCCTATCCTATAAAATCTGCCTTTCTAAGCTCCAGATCTATGCAGCAATTATTTTCACAGAGAAATGCTGTTTGGGGCAGCTTGTTCTGCAATTGTTGGGAGAATACACTTGAAGTGGCAGCAGGAGAACTGATGTGATACAAGCTGTGCTGAAATCTCAATATTGACAGTGACAGCATTGCTTTTCCAAGTTTGCTAAGGCTGTGAAACCGCTTCTGCCTCTTTAGGAGGGCTCATTGTCAGCCATGGTGTATTGGATCCCTTCCTTGGCAAGGCCAGTAGCATAGCTCTTGTGGGTGGCTCCCAACAAGTCCTGGAAGGGCTCCCATGCCTTTGGTCAGCTGGGGGAGGCAGAAATGGGATGCCTTCATTCTGCTTGAGTTCCTCTGGATAATACACGGTGAGCACCAGACTTACAAACAGCGGGTCCCTCTTGTCTATCAGCACAAACTCTAGCCCCAAAAAACCCAACATGGTCATAACAGCAGATCCTTCCCTCTGTCTGCAGTCCATGTATTCACAGTCCTGGCTGGTGGAGAGATTTCATTGTCAGAGTAAGCTGTGTTTGGGGTCTATGTGTGTCCCCAAAATGCTGAGCCTGCAAATTACTGTTCTGAGCTGTGTTGCACTCTTGAAAATTTCAGCTGTGAGTACATGGCAGAGAAGAGGGCCAGCTAAAATACAAACAAGCAAACTCGAAGTGCCCAACCTCATGCAGACTTTGAAATGGAGACTGCTTGGCTCTGTGCAGTCCAGCTGGGGATATGCTGGGGCGGGTGTGGGGAAGTGGACGGTGATATTCATTGACACCCTTTGCTGCAGGCTGTCCTGCCTGTGCAACCCAAACCTGGAGTCACAGTGAGCTGTCACCATAACAAATGCCATTCATGTGATGGGCGTCAGGGATAGCCTTCTCCTGCAACTCCCAGCCCTTCTTGGCCAAAGCACTGAGCAAATGGTGATGGACTGGTGCCAGCCAAGCATAAGAGGAGCAGCTCATGGGAAAGCAAAGCGCCTTTGTGGTGGCATACTTGAATTTTAGGGAGAGATTTGTTCTTTATTTATTTTAACCAGTGTGCCCATCCAGAGGTCAAGATTTGCTCAAATGTGTCTGTTTATGAAAAGTATTCATGTGTCTGCATTTTTCTTTAGAAAGTCATATAGTTACTTAAAAAAAAAAAGTTGTTGACTAAATAAACAGTTTATTTTCAAACATGAACTTTCTGCAAGTAGCAGGGTTATTTTTATATACAGAATCTTTCCCTAATTGTTTCTAAGCCATTGGCTTCCCACTGCTCATTTGCAGCTGGCAAGAATGTCCGCAGATCCCCTTGGGCATGTTTCAATGTGCATTTGCATATTGGTTTTGCAGTCATGAGCCTGGGAGACACAAATTGGCAGAAGTTTGGCTTTTGGGCTCTTAAAGTCTTTGAATTGTTCATACCATCACTTTCTGCTTTTCAACCAAGCCAGCAGAGCTTTAGCTTCTGACAGTGTCAACTTCCAAGCATACAAAGATCAATTCAAAGCACACAACCACCACCACCGGTTGTTGTTGAGTAAAAATGTGGTATGCATTGCCATGCTTCGGACGAGAGTCACCTCATACGTTGCTGCCTGAGGGGTTGTTTTGGTTCCACATGGGGCACAGCTCATCTCAACAACTGGACTGTTGCAGTGGGTGGCACGTGCCTAGGTGAGCAAGGGTGATGAGGTTGTGCAGGCTCCTGCTGGACTGGACCCCTTAGATTAAATCCTACCAGTGGCAATTTTTTTGTCTTTTATTGTCTTTTCCTCACTATTTTTGCATGATGCTGAATCAAGTCAGCTACTGGGAAGCCTTGGCTGTTTGTCTCTTTGTGTCCGCAAGATGATATTCCTCTTCTCCTATGAATCATGCTACACTGGAATAAACAAAGGAGCACATTTGAGCCCTGTTACGTATTTATGACAGCTGAGGGGCTTGGTCCCATCATTGTATGTTCTGTGCTTGCACAGGGAAAAGTAATGCGCTACAGACCCCCATCTTGGGCAGCACGGCATGTATGCGTCTTTTCCTGTCTTTGGAGCCTGCAATAACTCAAGTCATGTTCTCCTTTTCTGTTTCTGTAGCTATCCTTGGCATGCACACCTTGATGAGTAACCAGCAGTACTACGAGGCACTGGGGAGCAGCAACATTGTGAACAAGGAAGGGCTCAACAGTAAGTGATTTAGCGTGTTAGCAGGCTGCAGTGTGTGGCTTTGAAGCTTGCTAGCAGAGGCTAAGTGGGAATTATTTTTAGGCTGAAGGTTGGAGCCATGACTGTCAGAGCAGCCTGTGGTTGCTAGGGCCATCTCTGGTGCATCCTTGCCCTGTGTGAGCCAGCACGGTCTCAGCCACTGCCCTGGCACTGTCCGGGAGCTAGCACAGCCCAGGGAACAGCCCCACGGAGGCAGTGTGCCCTCCATCACCCAGTTTTGGACCCTGAGAGCGCATAGCAGCAGGCACCAGCTGTCCTGTGCTGGTTGGCCACGCTGCCAGGCAGCGTTTCTCGACACACGTGAGTGTAGATGGAGCTGCCGAATGCTTGTTGGGTCTTTCATCTAGCATATGTTTGTCAGGTCATGCTTCCCTCTCCCAACACTGCTTCTGGAAGAGGAGAAACACACCCATAGAGAACAGCCTGCTGCTCAGGGTGCTTTTGGTTTCACATGTCTTGCTTTTCACTTGCAGGTGTGATTAAGCCCACACAGTACAAACCAGTTCCTGACGAGGAACCGAACTCAACGGATGTGGAGGAAACTCTGAAACGGATACAAAGCAATGATCCTGACCTTGAGGAAGTCAACCTTAACAATATTATGGTATTTGCTCCTTTCTACTCTACTTTCTTAGTAACAGGACCAACATTTGATACACAGGAGTCTGACCAAGTCTGGTTTGCTGCACAGGGTAATACCATAGCACTGCATGTAGGCAGATAGGAAACACCAGTGCTTTCCATCTCCATTTTGGGCAATAGTGGTTGTTACCTGCTGTGGGACAATGGTGTGGAGTTGGTAGCAGGAGGACTCCTGTAAGTGGCTGGAAGAGCAGGGCTGTGTTGAGGGTAGTTTGGGAGACCTGTCTCCGTCCTGTCTGGTTAAAGGCATTCTAGGTTGCTTTAAAGGTTTAGTCAGGCACATTTGGTGGAGGGGCTGTTTATGTAAGATAAAAAGGTGGGAGGAAAAAGGCTTCATAATCCTGACACTTGCCATGAAAATACGAAGAAACCTCCCTTCTTGCAGGTAGCCCTGACCATCACTCACACATCCTTTCTGTGAGACTCCTTCTTGTAGAAAGCAAATCAGGACACAGCACCACTTCTTATGTTGCCTCTGGGACACATACAGATACTAAAAAATACAGTTTCCATCTGTCCTCCCTGACTCCAGGACACCCATCGCATGGGGTCTGTTGAATGATGGCATAGTCAAATAGCAAGAACATGGTTAACTGCACATGCACATTAAAAACACTTGTGCTATGCCACCTGCACCTTTCTATAACAAGATTTTTACTTTCATATATTTGATTCTGGTTAGTGACCCTGAACATCCCTTGGGGACAGCATGCTGAGGAACTGGCAGGCAGGCACTTTTTTTGTGTGTTGGACTCATGACCTTGGGACATGGTTTGGAGAACTGGGGAGTAGCAGTGGAGAGGGTAAGCTGCGAGGCTCTGTGTTATGGCTCTGCAGATAGCTTTGACTGTAGATGATTCCACATGGTGGGATCCACATGGTGTGGCAAGAAGTCCAAGCTGAGGATACCACTTAAAATTTTAGACAGGTGAAAATCTGTGCATCTGAAAAGGGTATCTGAAGTGCTTGATGAGTGAAAAATACTCATTTTGTAGGAACTCAGAATAAGCAGCATGGTTTTATTTTCTGGGCTGAGACCTAGCATGGCAAATGTTAGCCTGGAAGATGTTGTATAAAGCAGTCAGACATGTCTGTGGTTTGTACTACAAGGAGATCATTTCAGGTCTTTTTAGATCAGGCGCCATAGGTAGAAATTTTCCTAAACATGACATGAACGTTGCTCAGTCATTCATATTAAAAAGTGCAGGAGCAGTGCTTTGTAGGCTCATGGATCATAGTTACATACATCCCCACAACACCTGCATTCTTAAGTAGCTGAGTTTCTGGGCAATTAAATTAAACAACATTGTAGCTTCAAATCAAGGCAGTGAGCTATCAGCAGAGTGGGAAGTAGGAGAAGACATTGCCATGGTCCTTAGGCCATGCTGATTATAGCAAGAGAACTTGTAAAAGCATTTATCAACCCCTTCATAAATTACTTCAGTGCATTTGTGATTTGACCTTGATAAGAAATTTCAAGTATTGTTTAAATGTATTGCATATTCCTTCATATGGATGATGGTATAACATGTTTCCTGCATTTCTTTTCACAGAATATTCCCATACCAACTTTAAAAGCTTTTGCGGAAGCACTGAAAAATAACACCTACGTGAAGAAGTTCAGTATTGTTGGGACACGGAGCAATGATCCTGTTGCTTTCGTAAGTGCTGTCAGCTCACTGTCATAAAATTGTGACAGGAGCTGTTCTTGGGCAAGGTATTTTCAGAGTTACTGGCTGGCTTCTTTTGCACCTTACAACGCGTTTGGCATGTTCTGCACCTCTCATGTTTGGTGCAGGTGCTTCCGTTTCAGGAGCACTAGTGGAAGCCAGTGACAGACAGGCTTTGGTTCCTTCACTTCCTATTTCAGCTATGGAGATTTCAGGACACAATCCTTTAATCCCATTCGGTCTCATATTTGTCCTCAAGGATCTCACGGAAAAGGAGCGGGAGACAAGAACGGACTTCCTAGTGGCATTTTGTAAAAGCTGTTTGTCTGTCTTGATTTATCCTACATCAGGGCCCCCCCATTTGTTTCTGTTGATACAAAGCTGTACGCTGCTGTGTGCACACCCGTCCCTCCCCTTGCACACGTCTACTCCGGCTCTCTTCCATATTGAAAGGAATCATAGCATTGTTTAGGTTGGAAAAGACCTTTAAGATCATGCTCCTTTGTGCACACCTGTGCAGAAGCAGGACTCTGCATTTCTTATGCGTGGTCTCTGTGGGTGATAAAGGGTCTTTCTGGCTGCTGCAAACAGTCTTAAATATGAGTGGGGATGCAGAGAGGTGCTGAACTGTTCTGGCTGGCCCTCGTGCTACCTTCCTGGCTGCATCCTTGCACACTGCTCCAGCACCACTGCAACCAATTTTTGCTCTTCTTCACCCAGACCACCCCTACCTACCTCCACACACATATGTGCACACCAGTTTTCCTGTTAGAAAAAAAAATTCTTTTTGGCGAGTGAGTACAGCCTTCACATTGTTTCAGGCATTCTGGACTGGGGAAGAAGCCTGTGCATGCAGCACTGGCACTGTCTGAGGGCCCATGGGGCACTGTGCAGGACTAGGGGAGCTGTGGAGCCAAGTGCTGTGTGAGTGGGTGCAGGTCAACCCTGCTGCTTGGGCATCACTTTCTGGTCCTTCTGTTTCATGACGTAGACGGGTCCTCCCATGCAGCTTATGAAATGAGATCATCGGATCAGGTCAGGGGGGTTGGGAGTGTGCCAGCCCACTTCTGGTCTTGCCTGCTGAGGGAAGCAAAAGCGATTAATATGGTTGTGATGCCGCTTGGGAGGATGTCTTGGACATGGAGAATTCTTTGTTGTTCAAGACAGACACTCCACACTCTGCCTGCTGTGATAGGAAGCATCTCAGTCCCGCGCAGAAGAGGCAGTGCAGGCAGGGAGCCGGGCAGGCAGGAGGCAGGGCTGACGCGGGCCAGCATCCTTGCCATCACCATGCTACCTTTAGGAGAGGGACAGATGAAGCTGTCATGGGGCAGCCGCAGGTGTGGACTGTCACCTTTTGGGGTGGCCCTAAGGGTTTCTCTGTACAAGGTTTTGCTGTGGCCTCCAGCATGCTCACGTGCAAGAATCCCCCTGCAACAGGGGGAACCCCCTTCACCCCACACAGAGCTCACCCGTCTGTGGTGGCAGTGAAACACCTGGCACATGGGGTCCTCCCGGCGTCCTCCGGAGGCGAGGGGAGTTGAACCCCTGCTGCTCTGGGGTGCTCTGCCCCTGCCTGTCTGACAGCCAGCTCTTCTCACCCACCTCTGCCCGCAGGCACTGGCAGAAATGCTGAAGGTCAATAACACGCTGAAGAGCCTGAATGTGGAATCAAACTTCATTTCTGGATCAGGGATCCTGGCTGTTGTCGAAGCACTCCAGGGCAACACATCGCTCGTAGAGCTGCGCATCGACAACCAGGTAAAGTGTGCACAAGCTGGAGCTCTGATCAAGCGAATGTGTCCTGGTGTGGAAAATTGAGTAGCTGGTCAAGGTGGAGGGTGGCAGCCCGCTGGCACTGCCAGGTTGCTTTGGAGGGGTTTCAGCCCCTTGTTTCTGCTGCAGTTCCTGGGCAGTACCTGCTACTACCTACAATGATTAACAAAGGCTGTGGCAGTGCAAGCAGCTTTCCGTGTTCCTGGTGCTGCCCTGGAGAGCAGTGATGCACCTGTCCAATATCACACCTTGCTCCGAGCTCTTGTGGGGACATAATAATGTATATTTAGTAAAACTGAAATTTTTGCTACAGTGGAAGGGAAACAGGACGACAGCTCCAGAGGGTGAC